GATTTAGAAAACAGCTGAGCTGCAATTTGAGGCCTAGAGTATCGCACTCATCAAATATATTTCCACATTTAGAAAAATTATATGAACTGTCAATGAGGTTTAATATCTGATTCATATTGAAACATTTGTACAAAGGTAGGTAGTGCTTGTGCTGGGGGTACAGAAAAGAATTGCTAACAGAAACTAGCAGCTATCTCAAACTCAGGAGAAAAAGCATTCACACTTACCATGGCCTTAAAGCTCTGGGTTCCAATTAGCTGAAATTAACTCTTTTCCTGTGTTTGTCTCTCTCCCTCACTTTTTCACAAAGATAACTTCTGCCACTACAGTCAATGCATGTAAACCTGTCTAGCTTCACACATACAGTTCTAGTCCCCCTCGCCCCCAGGAAGGGATAGCAATAATCTATAGTTTCATTCCTAATCAGATCTAATTAAAAATGAGCTGTCAACCATTTTTTTTCAGGTTATGAATAATTAAGATAACATTTTTATAATACGTATTAAGTACAAGAGTTGGTTATTAGCATTTGTACTTTAAATAGCCCCCAAATAATCTCAGCACGAAGAAGAGTTCTCTTTAATTTTTGTCACAAAGATTGGAATTTAGTTTTTATAGGTCAACATGTAGCACTATTTCTCAATATATTTTAATAGTCTGATTGCTCAAAATGAAGGAATTTGGAACTTGGTAGCTTGCAGTGTTTCACACACAGCCAGCCACAGCTTTGACACTCTGCACAAGTTTTTGAAATGAAACTCAAATGGAGGACAGAGGCGGTGAACAGAGCTATCTTACTGACTTACTAAAAACAAGACCTAGAGAAGGATTATAAGCAAGAACTAAACCCCAGCACATTGCTTTCAAACCTGAAGAGACTTTCTACGTTAAAAACAAACAAAAAAATTATTCTGAGCCAGGGAGAGTGGATTATTCAGTTATTTCACAAATGCTGCCACATGAAGGATACATTTACAGACACAATTTTGGCTTTTGTCACTGATCCGAGAACGAAGTTTCTAAAATTTAAACCACACTTATATTTCATGTGTTAATCTTAAAAATAAATTGTTCTCTTTCTGCCACTAAAGTCTGTGAATTGTTAGACCATGCAGCATGGCAGCTACCCACAAATGTATTGCTGCTGCTTTCCTTTAAAAAAACAAGAGTTTAAAGGAATCCAAGACTGAGAAAGCGAAATAATGTGTTGAGTTACAATTTCCTTGTCTCTCAGAAAAATGATCTCACTATGAGCACACACAGCGACTTAGTTTCTTTTTCCAAGATTAATTCACTCTGTAAAGTACACATATAATCATGTCTTATGATATGAAACAGCTAGTCACTACTAGCAGATAATCTTGGTTAGCTGTTTGATGTTTTCTTTCACTTTCAGAAAGTTAGAGTTCAAATTTCCAGACTGGCTCACTAAAATAGAGCTGTAGTGCTAATTGAAATTTTTAAAATGAAACAAAGGGAACAAATACAAGAAATATTTTTCCAGAGCCAATATTTGGTGACTCTGTAGATGAACTTCCAAAGTAGACCAAATAATGATTCATATTAAAATACAGAATAATAACTAGCCAGGAAGACTAACAAAATTTATTCTGTGAACAATGCTGTTAAGATTTGATTTTCAACTGCTTTATAATAAGAATCAGCTGCCAATTTAAGGGGAAAAAATTATGGGCTTCATTTTACAACTAACTTGAGAGCTCTCGGCTCCCTTTCACATGTAAGTTGAAGTTGTCCAGTGTCTTACAAAGCGTGGTCTTTCTCATTAAATTTTACACGTAGTTTTAATGCAAAACAAGGACAGAAGTGGCATTGGAACAGCAACTGTACTGCAAAAAGCTTTGAAGAAATACTCTTCTGGTGCTGTTCATGTGCAACAATATAATGTCTCATGTCAACACTACACATTACATGGCTGCATAAACAGGTAGAAGAGGAACAGCACCTCTCCCTTCGACAGTAATTCCCACAGATTTGTAAACATTGTGGATGTGTATGACCTTTAAGAACCTGTTTCCAAGTGAAACAGAGTGATAACAGTGACAACTGTTGCAGTGGAACACAGAAAAACACACCTTCATTACACTTCCCACAGAAAGTTTTGTTACTTGCCTTGGTTTAAGAATCAGAACTTGTTATTTGTAGCAATTTGTGGGGACCTTTAAAAGTAAAATGCCTCAGACTGAAAAGCTAAAGCTAAAATAGGTTGAAATTTATTTTCTTGAAAGGGATCAATATCTGTGCCTGCTTTAAAGTGTTCCTAATAATAAAGACAACAAATTCACTCAATAAAATATCTCCTATATGATTCAAACTACATTTTCTGTTAGCCTGAAATTATTACCCATAGAATCCGAATTATCAGAACACTTAGTAGAATTTGGGAGATCAGTAGTGGATAGTTTATGCTCTTAAGTTTAACCTCAAACCTACCATAACATGCAGAGTGTCAAAGTCCATTCAACAACATACCACACTATTGGGAACAAGGTAGCTTTCTCTAGGTTCTTTTTTAAAGTGGTATGTCTACCACTCAAGTTTTCATTGATTACAGTAATATTTTTATAGAATTACTTTTGGTTTTGAAGTCCAAAGTCTTAAAAGGAGGTAGCATAAAAAAGGAGCAGAACATGACTATTTCAGATCAGCAGACAATGATAACGCTATACAGACAGGATACTCAGTACCATAACCCAAGACTGACAAGGTTCTGTACCAAAGTACAACTGCTCTCACCGAAATATACCAAGATGTAGATTTCTGTTTGAAACATAGTCTGTTTGAAATGTATGACTGGCAATTCTGGACAAGCACCATTGCTAGAAGTCTGTTAAAATCTTATGTACAGAAGTGATTATTACAAACAACAGGGAGAGTTGAAAGATACCCCCAAAAAACCCGCACAGGGTCCTAGTTATAAACACACACACTCTCTTCTGTCTTCAAATTGGTATATTTTCTCCTTCAACAGTTGAGACAAAATACATAAATACTTAAATTTGCAAAATGTCATTTAATATAGAGATAATTTAAGAGCCCTGATGGAAAAAAAAGGGGGGGGTAGATTTTTTGAAACTATTTTTACCTTTAGTAATAATTGTGCTATAAAACTTAAATGATCAGTAGCTCAAAGCATTGAACAAATAATGAGGAAATTCTCTGTATCTCTCAAACAGGTAAGTCAGCCATAGGCTAATTGTATGATTTAATAAACTAGAGACAAAAAATTGAGATAAATACAAGTCTCACTGTGATAATAATTACTACAAGATACAGTTGTGTAAAAGCAGTGAACTTTACGTACTTTCTTAGTTATCAATCTTAATAAAAAATACTGTGCTGTAATCTAAACTCACTGCATTTTCTTTAGAAAACTGAATCCTCTTTCAGAAATAAAGCAAGCCAAGCCAAATACAAATGGTAACACATTGAACAGTGACTACAACCCCAAGAAGAGCACACAAACCTCCCTGTCCTCAGGCAGATGGCTACATTGGGAACCATTTGTAGTTCTGTTTGACTTAGGCTGTGACTAGAAACATGTTAATCACGACTGGAAACGGGATTTTATAAAAATTACTACAATCACACCTATCTGAGGCTAACATATAATGTTCCACTTCAACTCACAGAATTAGACATGGAGACATCAAGTAGTTACAGAAATATCTACAAACTGCAACTGCTGTTTATTTTTTTTTTTAAGTATCAGTGAACTGACCTTTAGAGTAAGGGTTTCATGACAACAGGCCTTTCTCAGATTTTGTTTTGCATATGCTAGTTGATGTTGCTCCTTTTTTTGCACTTTTGTCTTTCTAAGAAGCACATGCTGAGAAACTTGGGCATAATTGGTCTTAAACTTCTTACAGAGTCAGAAGAGAAAGCTTTTGCTAAATATTTGCTGTGCCTTAAATTCATATATTATTAGCTTTACTCTTTCACCTGTATTAATATCAGTTGCAAAACGTTTTTAACAAAGGGAAAACACTGGCATAACATTCCTCAAATTCAGATACAAATGGAAGATTGAAAATTCCACACTCTCCAACTGCCCTAGGCAAATGAAAGCGTTGCTCTAACAAGCAATGCTGAAGCCCTTATCTTAGTATTGAGCAGAGATGAAAGAAAATAGACATGGAAAACGCACAGCATGAATAGGCTGAATGTTAGCTATGTAAAAATGTTAAATAAAGCTAAAATCCTTCCATTTTTCCTGATTATTCTGCTATCAGTTTGCAAAAACTGAAATTCGTGGAAAATGCTTCTGGAGGTTGATAGACCCTCGATGCTATTTTGCCTTCATCTGATATGTGAAAGGACAGTACCTGATTAGAACAGCTGTCACTGAACTCCTGGTCTTCATTGCGAGTTTCAGTGTCTCCAAGATTAAACAGAATATTACATAAAAGAAACAAAACTGAAGGATGAGATACTTATTTAGAGAACAAATCTAGAGATGAAACTTGCTTTTGTAAGATGTTATGCTCAACATTTTCAACTGGGTGTACAAGTTAAATTGGCCATGCCTTTGAAGCATTCACAAAGAGAAACAAATAAACCAAACTCTGCATTTGCATCCATCCACTCACGTGGTTTCTCAGATTACGTTCTTTGAGAAAGCAATCACGTCCTAAAAGATACTTGAGGGCAAGAACACAAATCCGTAGAATTAGGGCAAAATCCCCCAGGTCTCACAAGGCCATTTTCAAAGCAGACACTTAAAGACCTTAGGGAAGTGGTATCCAAAGATCATTTAGTATTGTAGAACCGCTTAAAGTTATGAAGAACTGGGTCTGCTTCAAAGCTCAAAAAAGATGAGACTGGCAAATTTAGTCATGAAACTCCTACTGTGGCAAAGAGTCCTTGGTTTGTGGATCCTTGTCCAGTTGACACCGTAGGCAACTGAACTGGAAGGTGTTGGTGTCCCTGACGACTTTGATAGGAAAGGGAAGGCCAGCACGGGCTGGCTGTCCATCCTGCACTCAAGGTCCTCCACTGTAGGAATAATCTGCCTTGTTGTGCATCACGAGCTTGTCGTCCACAAAGTAGAAACTGTCCGACTGTGTCTCATATGGATGAAGGATCATCTCCCGAACTGCAGGGGCAAAAATAGAAAAGAAAAACAACAAAACTTAATCATGTTCCGTAGAAGCCCCACTGAGGCAACACTCTGCCTTGGGTTTCAGTTGTGTTGAAGAGCATTGCAGCAAACAAGTGAGAAACCAAAACCAAACCAGGAACCTGCCCAAACCATTTGTTGACAGTATCTTTAAAAAAAAACTCAAGCTTAATCCAAAACATGTCAAGGCACCACACAAAGTGTAAGTGCTCTACCTAACCTCAAAACAATATCCCACTAGAGTTTGGGGCTTTTGTTTTGTTTTGTTTTTAAAAAAAGTGATAAAACAGTAAACTTGAAAGAAATTTGTTCTGGTGAGACAATAAGTAAGCAGCAGTGCATCGCTGTGCTTTCCACAGACTGTGATATTAATTCTGACATACATGATTAGGGGTTGTAAAGAACATAAGATTTAGTGCTGATGCTGTTGTGTCTTGGGAGAGAGGAGAGAAAAGAAAAGTTACATTCATACTAAAGCTAAAACTTATCAATATAGCACATCAAACAGAACATAACATTTAAGTCACCCATTTATTGGACACATTTTTAATCTTAGTTTTTTGGTTGGTTTATAACACAATTATCTTTTTTCTCCCTGACACTGACGCTTCCCTTTTAAAAATTTAAAAAATAATAATAAATAAATCAATTGTCTGGTGGGTGATAAGACACATGCTACTAGAAAACAAAATCTGTATTAACACAGATACAAAACTACCTGGAAGTATTCTACCCTATCCACTTTCTACAGACAGCTTTTAAGAAAGGGCTTCTTCAAAACACCTTAGATTAACATCCCTATGTGATAACCCAGTAATGAAAGAGAGCTTACTGAGATCCTCAGAGAGCTCTGGGAATTCATAGATGTGCTCACAAGTATTTTTACTGCTGGGGATGCAGAAGCCAAATTCAAAATCAAAACTCTTCAGCAATTGATCCCGGAAGTAGTGCCTCTCAATCATGCGGAAGTTATTAATGGGTTTGTCCCCTACCGTGAATTCCACCCTGGAAAAGAAGGATAAGATGGAATGAGCTTTCTTCCTTAAGTAAGATCTTTAACCATTCCTAAAAGGTAGAGGAGAGGTCTTCTAAAAAAAGCCAAAAATCTAAAGCAATGGTACTAAGCAAATTATCGTTTCCTCTTAAAGCATGCTACAGGGACACAACACAGCATTGCCAAGCACAGACTACACTATATTTTGATTCTTTTACTAAAAAAAAGACATCTGTGGATTAATGTTTTTTTGGGGTATGCAACATAGAAGGCTCCAGACAAATCTTCTGAAGCTGGCAGAGCCTCTGACAAACAAACTAGAACACACAGAAAAAGAGTTGGAATATCTGGGTAGTCAGTCTACCTGATTTTGCCCCATTTAGCATTAATCTTTTCAACCCCGTGCCTATTCCTGAGGTAAATAAACAAGCTAAAGAGATGGAGAAAGCAAGGCATCCAGTGAAGATGTTTGGAGATCCTCATAACAGCAAAAGATTCCTATTAAATCAAACTTCCTGACAGGATCAATAAGCAAGAGCCACTTTTCATAAGATTTCAGTTGTTTCCTGTACTAGAAAAAGTAGCTCAGGAGTAATTACTCACGTGGCTCCCACTTGCCGAAGTCTCAGAAAAGCTGGAGTAAACTGATAGCGTACAAACCGTCCAGCATTGGGGTCAATGTCCTTCCTGTCATTGTGTTCACGTTCTGGAAAAGCACAAAGAAAAAGCTCCGTCACAGTCATGTGAGAAACAGAAACCCAGTGAAAATACCTCCAACCACACATTATTGACTCACGTAAGCCAGGAAACTATGCTGAGAAAGCCTGATGATGTGCTTACCCTCTTCCTATCCTCTCTAAGGCATCCACTCCTGGTCACTCGGAGACAGAGTATTGCAAGATGGCCCTTTGGTTTGATAACACTTATCTCCTGAAGTGACTTACTGCTCCTACCTCTGATTCAGGATTGCAGTGGGACTCTGAACAAGCCCCTTCACCTTAGCAAGTCTGCTTCGCTGTCTCTAAGCTACACAAAACTTCCTCTCACCTGCAGGGAGATGGGGGAGATTTAAAAGAGTGTTTGATCAGGAAAAGAACAGCTGCCCTGGGTTTTATTGCCACTGGCAACAGGTAACACTTTGATGGTTACAGGTAACATCTGAAAAATTATGGAAAAAAAAAAAGCAAATTTTCAGTTTGTCTGACTTGCACAATTGACAAACTTTCTCCCTTCTGGAAATACCATTTTCCTGACTCCCGAGTGAAAGCTGTTAGTCTAACAGTTAAACTATGCACAGGGGCAGTCTAGATGATGAACCACCGAGAAACTAACACACGGCGACCTCCTCCTCCTCCTCTGCTTCTGTTTACCACATCCATCTGTCCTTTCTCATCACAGATGGCAATCGTAAGAACACGGCAACAACGACTTCTGTTCACTGTGTGGGTACAAAGGGACACCCAAATAGTATTTCTGCTTGTAGTCAAGAGCATTTTGTATTTTTGGGGAAATGTACCGAGTAAAAGGAGTGGGAAAAGGCAAAAGGAAGCAGACACCAGCATGTCTTTGTTCATGAAAACTGTATTTTGTGTGCGCACTCACCTGAAGCTGCTGGTTTGGTGATTTCAAACAAGACTGTGCCAGATTCCATGTCTCGGATTTTGAACCTGGTGAAGTCTATCTTGTAAACATTTTCCTCTGGAGTGCATAAATAATCTGCAGAGGAAAGCAAATTCAAATGAAGGCTGCACAGAATCATCAAGTATTACTCTCTGGAGGTCACAACCAGCAGTGAGACCAGCCCAAATGCTGCTCTCATTTCCACTACTACTCTGGTTTTAATCCAAAACTGAGGTCTATGAAGACAATCCCAGTTCCGAGTGCTCACACCGCCCTGCTTGGACAGGACAGGGAAAAGGCTTCTCTCCCCAGCACTGGGAGGTCATCACCTTTTTCCAACCCTGTACCAGCCCCTTCTACATCCATTTCCCCTCAAGGTATTGAGATAGTCAGCACCTCCATCAAATCCCAGCCTTTCCAGTGTAAGAGGCTTTGCCTGTTTTAAAAACTGTCCTCGGGCAGAACGCAAGTGCTAAGCAGCTTTGTAAGCACTAAGCCGACTGCACTTAACTGGAACAGGAGTGTCCTCCCTAGTGCCACCTCCTCCCCTGTCTCCAGCCCTCTGCAGACAAAAGCTGACCTCTCCATCCATGTTTGTCCCATGTAAGGATTTTTTTTTCCCCTTCAGCACTGAAAATGGTGCTGAAGTCTTTCCCTGTACCAAGAAGCCAGTCTGGGAACAGAGCTCTTCCCCTCTTCCAAGAGTCCATATCTCTGGGAGAAAATAATTGCTTCTGGCTTCAGCCCTGCGGAGCCCAGAGAGCTTCTGGCCTGGGCAGCAGCCTCCTCTCTGGGGGAAGAGCAGTGGTGCCTCATTTTCACCACACATACAAGCACAGATTGACAGCAGCTCCAATAACTTACTTTATCCCAACAAATCTAAATAAGTGTTGTATGTACACAAGCCCAGTTAGCTTTTGAACAACTGTGCACCTGCACACTTGTTCAAGAACGAGACTTGTTTTGGAGGTTCTAAGGTGAAAGTAATACTTTAACGTTCTAATTCTAAGCCCTTTCTCAGCCGTTAATTCCTTCTGTTAGTCTGAGTTAATCACATTTCTGTCTGCTTTCCTATTTCTGAAATTCAAATACAGCCACCCACCGAAGGCTTTTTCATTGAATATATGTCATATTTATGTGTTATAATAATGCTATAACTTATATATCAATATATAAGTTAATAGATATAGGTTGCAGTGTACTCAGAGATCACACCTGCCCCTTACAACCCCAACTTCATCGCAGATATAACGAATCGGGAACCTACACTATGGCTGGGGGTTATGGCTCATGAGCAGTGGTTAGCACATTCCATAGATAAGGAGCTAAGAAAAGATTCCTGTGGTAGTGAGAGAACATCCCAAATGCCACACATTGCAACTAGCAGACAGCAAGGCCCTCGTGCTGGGATCTGGAATTACAGAAACCAGAAATCTCCGTAGCGAGAGACAAAGCCACCTGCCATCAGCACTAGGGATGGTTGCTCCCAGGCGCTGTTGAGCATCAACCCCACGTTTAGCACCTGTACTTTCCTAGTTGTTCTTTTCTTTTCTTTCTTTCTTATATATTCTTTTAAGAGGTTCTTTTTATTCTTTGCAAATCTCCTTAAACTGTAGAACTGCCTGAGTGCTCACTGGTACAAAGAACAGAGGTGTTAAATGGAACCCTCTGGATGGTTTTCCTGCTCTCCATCATCATCACCACCATATGGTGAATGCTCAAAGGAATGGACTTTAAGAGAGAGGATGGTGTTCAAAGCATCTCTGGCATTTGGCAGGGAGGTTTCCCTTTCCTATCAACACAGCACAAAGAAAAACTAACACCAGGATCCACACTATTAGGAAGAACAAGACAGAAGCTCAACATTTTTACTATGACAGGAAAATGCAAGCCTACTGTTGCATTTTGTTGCATTTTCATTGCGTGCTACGAAACAGCCTCAGAACTGCACAAAATCCTCTTTTCTGTCTTTGACAATGGCCAAGGAGATGGGACAGAAATTTGAATCAATCCCTTGCCTTAAGCCCCAACGTTTAGCAACCCTCAGGTAGATCTCCTGCAATTACACAATGATTTTAGGTTCTAATGCATCAGCCAGCCCAAACTCTTAACCCATCCCACAACTTCCCTGCTCCAAGCAGTCACAAGCAAAACACAAACAGACAAGAGCAGGCAGAGCTTCCTGCAGTCCCGGCTCCACCTCCCTCAGCCCACAGCCCCACTTTGACCAGCTGCTCTCCACGAAGGCAAGGGGCTGTAGCAGAACAGGCTGGCGGTCACCTGGGAGCCCAGGACACCTTCCCCAGAGCACGCAGTCAAAATCTGAAGCTGCATTTGTCTGCAAGTTAATTATTAAGTGTTTTTCCTCCTGCAGAATTCCTGCCCATCCAGCACCATGGCAACAGCTTTATCCTCCTCCTTGGCAGCAGCGTTGCTGCAGTAACAGTGTCCATGACTCATCTGGAGCAGAGGAGAGCCAAGGAGAGCCACTGAAGAGGAGTAAAACCCGGGTAGAATCCCCACCAGGCTCATGCTCATTGATGTTTGCACCCCTGCACTATATTTTCCAACTCTTCGGCACTGAAAATATTTGAAACCTTTTTTTTTTTTAATCAACATGACAACATCTAACTGGATGACATCTGGGAAGATGAGCTGCCACAGTACTGCAAGCAAGTGTTTTTTCCTCCCCTGGCAGTGCCCAGTCTCCTAGTGGTGGGGGGGGGGAAGAGGTATATAGATTCCTCTCAGTCTGTATTAAATTTGCTGCAATTCCTGTTCAAAAATCAATCCAAGTAGCTGGGTTTTTTTTCCCTATACATAACAGAAGCCTGTAGCTACACTGGAAGGTCTTACTGGGAATGAGCTGCTTGCAATCAGTAGATATTTCTGCATAGCTGAGCACTGTCAAATTTGCTAATCTTATCCCATACATACCTATTTTTAAATTACTGTAGGGCCCAGTTGCCCACACTTCCGCGACACACTTACATGTATCATCTGCTTTCGTTATCCTAATTCACTCTCACCACAATTTGGGGAATGGAGGCAGCATCCGTGTCTATTTTAGTCAGACATAAGGCAGCTCAAACCTCCATCGAGTGAAGCGGATCATTACAAGAAAGGTAGGCTCAGTCTCTCAGGACAGAACGTTTCCTCGTTTCTCCCACTTCCCCTGAAGCAGGCTGCATTGTTTCCCTGTTCATAACCAAATAATAATGACATCTCCCTGAACAAGCCTTCCATACTCATCTGATGATGAGAGACTGAGAGCACACTCTGAACAAGGGATGAAGGGATGGACACATCAGCACTGTCTTAGGAAACCCAACAAATTGGCTTTTGCCCTGAAGTACCCACATTAAATAGTGCAAAAGCAGGTCACAAAAGAGGAGCATGTCCTACTCCTTCCGAAAGCCCAGTGACTTGCCATATCCCAGACCTCCGTACCCAAGCTCCTTCTGGAAAGACTTCAACAACTGAGTTGAACTTGTTCTCAAAGCAAAGAGCAAACTATTGCAACTTGCCCAAGCCTGGGATTAGCAGCCACTTCTCACTCACACGTCATGGTGCCCCTGCAGCTTCTTCCCCGTAACCTCTGCATCATTCACAAAGATCATAGAATCACAGACTGGTTTGAGTTGGAAGGGACCTTTAAAGGTCATCTAGTCCAACCCCCCTGCAGTGAGCAGGGACATCTGCAACTCCCCACTATTAGAGACATTTTTCTATCTTAAGACCATGGTGTTGAGTTTGGAAGCACGAGTAGCAATACTGTGATGGACAGAGAAAGCAGCAGAGGTGATGGACTTCCTGAACCAGACACAGTGGATTCCTTCATGAATTCTCCTATTCCCTTTGTATGAAAAAGTGATCCCCAAAAAACCCCAAACAGACATCTGGTGCAAGGCATTTGTGAAGAGTTCTCTAGCTTTGTTATCAGAAACACTGGATGCTCATTCCCTGTTTACAGTTCTGAGGTGGTACCTCCACTGTCCAATCCAGAGAAGAGCCCAGTCTCTTCCAGGAAATCTCTCTCCCCTCCCAAAAACCAACCAGGATTGCAAAAGAAACCGGCAAAACAGCCTAGACAAGACAGCAGGCACTGCCTATTCTCTGTGAACAATGGTACAGTGTGAACCCTGGTGCATATATCCAGCCACATATCTTAGCAAGCTGGTGTTACAAAGGAGCACAAAAGGTGAGGGATAATACAATGCTAGATAATACAAGAAGAAAGCTAATGAAGGCACTTTCTCCTCCTGCCCTCGTTCCTGTTATTTCTGTTACCCAATGGATGAGATTAGCTGTTTGATCCTCATCAGAGAAAGCTAAAAGTCGATCCTATACTTTCAGTTCTCCTTTCCAATCACCCTACCAGGTACATTTTACCAAGAGGAGTTCAGGGGCAATAGGGTTAGCACTCCTTGTTGCGCTTCTTTCAAGATCCCTTCTCCTTCTCTGCAACCAGTAGAAAGCACGTGTTCCCTCTCACAGACGTTACAGATATTTCTGCAGTGCTCATCAGAGCGTCTAAGCTCAGATCAGGCAGCTCCTATTTTAAAGCTTTAATAGCCCACAAAGGAAAGCAGAGTATATCTGGGGTAGGAAAGAAATCAAAATCTGGTCATGAAAATGGGTGTAAATCGGAAGGATGTTGTACAAGAAACTGATGCAACAGCAGTGACTTGTAACAGGGATGTCTCTCCCCAACACAGGCAGTAACAAGAATTTGGGGAACGAGAAGGCTCCTGCAGGTATGCAGCCCTATTTCTTAACATGCATTAGCCAACAAGGTCAGAAACTATTTTGAAGACAACTCCCAAGACGTAAACCAGGTATAAAGCAAAGACAACTGCAGATGAATTGCTAGGAGCTGGAGATTAGGAGATTATCAGATTGAAGAGTCTCAGGAGGAAGGGAGCAAAAATAGCACAAGCCCCAGGAAGATGCAGAGCAGTGACGCAGGACAGAGTGCAAGACTCAAGGGGAAGGCAGGGCGAGTTTCACGTGGTATTGATAAGTCTGCTCAGACAACTGGAGTTCAGTTAAAGAAAAAACTAGACCATTTCCCCTGCCCTCTGCCTCAGCAGTTCAATTCCTGTAAAGAAAGGGGCAGAGAAACAAGCTAAACCAGTCAGGATCCACTCCATTTGTAAAGCCATGGGGTTTGGAGAAGAAAAGACAGTGGGGGTCAATGGGAGGGAGGCACCTGCAGCCCTCCCACCCAGCTCGGTAATTCACCTGTGGTCAATGCCCCAGAGGGAATTTTCTGCAGCAGCACATTTACTGACAACACTGAAGGAAGCAGAGGGGTGCATCCCAGCAGGCTCTGAGCAGGGGCATTTACAAAGGTCCCCATAGCCCATAAGGTGTGACCCACCTGGCAGTGTGCCTTGCCTCACTATGCACTGAGTCTTATTGCATGGCTCACCCTTATTTTTTATTTTTTTTATTTTTAGCTAGAGCTTTCCAGACTTCACCCTCTCACAATTAATTTGATCACAGCTCTCCAGGCCTTGTTAAGGAAGGATGGAGCTGCTCTTGTCCCATCCCCAAGACCTCCAAGCCCTGTTTCCTGCCCCTTGTTCATGCTGATTGCACTCAAAGTCTGAAACCACATGCACAATATTAACAAAATCAGCTCACTTTGCTCTTAGACAGGGCTAAGCCAAAGCAACCAGGCTCTGGACAAAGCCCCAGGCTGACTCCTCCAGCTTTCCTCTCACCTTTGCCATTTCCACCCAAACCCACAACACTGGCAGAAGGAGAAACCCTCTCAGCTGCCAGCCCGGCACCCTGTGCCACACACACACCATGTGCATTGCCCCTGGAAATCTTAACAGTCCATATTGTACTGTGAGACTACTGACAAGAAACCCTTCATCTACACAACACCTCGAGTTACACGTTATCACAAAGCCCTGGAAAGGTCCATAACGTATGTGGTGCTGCTGAGGAAAGTCACAGGGAGAGCAGCTTGACACAGCTCTAGGATGTCGCTCTGCCACAAGAAATCAGCATCTCAAAAGGCCTTTACACATCACAGCCCTGGACAACTCAGTACAGTGATTCATTAACCTCCTCACAAACACCCCCAGCTAATCAGAGCTCCTGATACAATACATTTTCCTAATTAATTGGAGAAGGAAAAGAAAGTCATGATCCAGGAGCAGCTTTAAAGATTGATTTTTGTGCATCAGTTTCCCATTAATATTACAGGGAAACTGGTATGAAAGTCACCCACGAAGGGTCTGCCCCGACCAACCCATTGAGGCAGCTCTCTGCCAAGCTGGCCTTCAGCTAAAGCTGCTAAGAGAGGTCTCAGAGAAATCTTAAATGCCAGCTCAGGGAAGAGATTAGTTTCAGAAATGATAAAGTGTGTGTTCCTTATTTTAAAGTTTTTGTTTTGTAATTCTTCCAAGGAATGTCATCAATCATTTAACCCTTTGGTTTGCTAAAATAAAATCAGCTTTAGAATAAAGCTTAAAACAGAAGCTTTCATCTGGTATCACAGACAAACTGTACAGGTGCCCGAAGCTGCGATAGGCAGGGCAGTCTCAGAGGCTGAAGTTTGCCTTTCATTACGTATCTGTTTGAAGCCTGAAGTACCATACACTGACAAAAGGGGATGGCATTACGGGGGCTGTAAGATCATCTTTCTGCTGACCACCAATAACTCCAACCCCAAAGACAGAGGAAGAAATTAAAGCTTTGCTTGAATTAACCTTGCCCAGCAGCTCACGGGGGAGTAGCAGAGCGTGACCCAGCAAAGCTGTGAGATGCAGCATGGTCAAAGACACAAGGGACAGTGTCCGGGGATGACCAGCCCCAGCTCCTCAGCTGGCTCCATGAGGCAGGACACTGTTCACAGACATCAACATCCCAATAACTGCAGACTGACTCCTCTGATCCTCTGGCTGCTTCAGTAATTAACTGCAATTTGAACTGAGCTCTGCCCTGCTTCTTTGCTAATCCTAAATTAATCACGTCCTAAGGTTTTTCCTCTCTTTGTAACTGTGGTTGTGTAAGTAACAAATCTCGCTAATTGCAAAGAAAATAGTTCATTCATCTTACACCTGATCCACTTGGGAACAGCACCAGAGCCAGCCCAGCCAAAAGGCCCAGATATTCCAGGGCAGCACCCCAGACCCATCAGGCTGGCCCTTAGTGTGCCTGGAAACATTACAGCCTTGGAGCTGCTGGAGAATTTAACATTGAAAGGACGTAGCATATGCAGGACAGTTTCCACAACTCCCCCTTTAAGCTTATTAGAAACACATTAAGAG